GAGATGCTTGGCCTTCTTCAACAGGAGTGTCAAACTCGATTTCTTTGAAGCAGTGGTGGGATTCAAAAAAAATTACTACTGGTTCTGTAGGCAACAGCTTGGTGGGTCTGGCTTGGTGGGCATGGCAGGGGAAGGATATACTGCAAAATCTCCATTCCTTCCCCACCCCACTAACCTGCTTTCCAGCGCCGTTCTCCTGTGCAGGGCAACCAAAGAAGACCCAGCCAATCAGCTAGGACTCAATGGGGGGCGGGCAGAGAAGAGATGGGGCCGGGGCCAGTCAGAGGTGGGATTTGCCAATTCTTTGAATTACTCAAAATTTCCGCTACCGGTTCTGCAGAACGGGTCAGAACCTGCTGAAATACCACCTCTGCATTGAGGGCTGCATCAAGGTTGTGTTTGACCGCAGGGGACCGTGGTGGGCTTGACGTTCACTCGTGTTGAAGGCGCCTTCAAGCGCTCTGCCAGCGAAAACACGCTCCTGGGCCCTGTTTTCAGCCGTCAGTCTCCTGCAGTCCTCTGCCAGCGTTTTTGCTGACTGAGGGCTGCAGGAGGCCATCGTGGCCGAAAACCAAGCCTGGAATGGCTGCGGGCGGCCCTCTCGAGCTCTGTTTTTGCTGGCAGAGGCACCGTGGGCCAGTCCTTTGCTGTTTTCGGGGGGGCCCGTGGGCCAGATCTAAGCCCCCCATGGGCCAGGTTCGGCCCACAGGCCTTGAGTTTGACACATCCCTGTTTTAGAATATCAGAATCCACCTGTCCGCAAGTGGAGACTGTCTCCCTGGGGGCAAAACCTGGAGTGGCTAGATGCCAAATACAGGTCGTCCTTGACTTAACGGCCACAATGGAGCCCAGCTTTTCTATGGAGACAATTCTTAAGGGAATGTTGTCCCATTTTATGGCCTTTCTTGCCAAAGCTGTTAAGTGGATCACTGCAGTGATTAAGCCACTTAACACAGTGGTTAAGTGAATCTGGCCACCCCATTGACTTTGCTTGTCCGAAGGTCTCAGAACGTGATCACATGACCCCAGAACATTGCAACCCTCCTAAATACGAGCCAGTGCCAAGCATCCAAATGTAAATCATGTGACTATTCTGGGGGATGCTACAACGGTTGTAAGGGTGAAAAACGGGCATTAGTCACTTTTTTCAGTGCCGTTGTAACTTCTTTTTTTAAAAAAAAAAAAATTTATAACAACAAAAACAAACGAATAAAACCTTCTTTCTGTTCATCAGTGTGTCAGTTGGGTATGCATTTTTTTGTGCACATAATACAATTATCATACATATTTTACTAATATATATATTTATAATCCTTCTAATCAGTATTTTATATCACATATATCACTTATTAGCTTTAACATTATATTTATTGATGTTCAATAGTATATTTCACATTCATTTTCTTACTCTGTCTAACTCATTCGTTTATCAGTGATAAATATTATACTGTACTTACATATTTCAATTTCTTACTCTTCTATCTAGCCATTCATAAAATAAATTCCAAATTGTATAATAATCTTTTTCCTGTAGTGCCGTTGTAACTTCGAATGGTCACTAAAAGAAACCAGGTGCTCTCCCATGATGCCTCACTTCATAACTTAATGACCAATATCATTTAATGAATTAACGGGTCCTTTTTTTTAGTCCAAAGTAGAGGAGCCACCTGTATCCTTAAGGATTAAGAGATTCATCAGGAAGAATGTTAACCCAGGCCAGTTTCTATGTTAGGGGAAATAGGAAATGTTCAAAAGACACACCAAAGACTACCCCACCCTCACACACACACACACACACACACACACACACTCCAACCCAACTTGTACCCTAGGCCAGTGGCCGCCAACCTTTTGGGCACCGGGGATTGGTTCCACGGAGAGATATTTTTCCGTGGACTGGAGAGGGCGTGGTTTCAAGCGCTGTCTGCATGCCATGGATGGGGCTGGCATGCCGCTAACCGGTGCTGGTCCATGGGCCGGGAGCTGGAGACTCCTGCCTTATGCCAAGTCTATTGTGCTTACATCCTGCAGATATAAATAAGGCAGATCTATGTAAATGTACTTCTGCTAACCAAAGGAATAGGAAGGATGAGTGAGAGAGAGAGAGAGAAAGAGAACACACACACACACATGGAGAGAGAGGGAGGGAGGGAGGGAGAGAGAGAGAGAGGCAGAGAGAGACACACACACACAGACAGACAGTGACAGAGACAGAGGGAGACCAAGAGAGAGGCAGAGAGAGAAAGAGAACACACACACACACACACACACACACACACACACATGGAGAGAGGGAGAGAGAGAGAGGGAGGGAGGAAGGCAGAGAGAGAAAGAGAACACACACACACACATGGAGAGAGGGAGGGAGAGAGAGAGAGAGAGAGAGAGAGAGAAGAAGAAGAACTTTTCCCAACATCTTTTCTTTTCCTTGGCCTGATCCTGCCAAACTTACAACCTAATTTTGCTAAACAACGACATGCACACCGCTGACTCCCAGATAGAAGCGGGCAACGTGCATTTTCCTACAATCTACAGAAGCTACAAATATTTATCTGTGCTTTAATATTTCAGAAAATTGAATTTCTGTGCAATATTTAAAAGGGTTTTTTCTCTCCCCCTCCCCCCCCCCAAATGTGTCTGTATCCTGATAAATATAGGCCTTCTGCATTCTGGCTATTCTAAAGTGCTCGGCTGAACATCAGGCTGCAAAAGAAAAACCCTTTCCCCGGTCTTTAATTGTACGCGGAGCTTATGAAATTGATTTGAGAGCTTAGCTTTTTACAATGCCCAGTGAATACAAAACATTTCTGACAATCAATCAATGAAAGAATAATCACTCCATATTCCTCTCTCTCTTCCTCCTCCCTTCCCTATTGTTACTTTTCCCCCTTTTCTTGGGGAGGATAAGGTTCAAATGCCAGAAAATCTTTGTGAGACACCACTTTTAAATTAAGCAGAAAATGGACATTGACACACTTGTTAATCTCACCTGGATCATTATTGGGAGTCTGGAGGTAACAGGCAGCCTTCAAATGCAGGAATGCTCTTTTCCTGAACCACATCTACTGTCTTGCCAAAAAAAGAGAGAGACTTTTTCTCTTCATTTCTTGTTTCTAAACAGCACCGTAGCAAGTTTTGGAAATAGGCAGTCCTTGACTTACAACATATTGAGCCTGGCAATCATAAGTCACGTGGTGGCTCACTTTACAGACATAAAGTGGATCACCACACGACTGGATCCGGTTTGACAACCTTTTTTGGGTCGTAAATGCGATCCAGTTGCCGAGCTCCTGAAATGTGATCAGGTGATTGCGGGGAGCAGGGAGCAGTCAGAACTTCTAATCTAAGCTATAGATATCTTCCTTTTGGGGTCCATCGTAACATAGAACGATCATTAAGCAATCCGTCATAACTTGAGGACTTAACTGTAAATAGTTTTTCCAGGCTGTGTTTTTGATTCTTTCCCCTGGCTGTGCCATGCTGTGAATGGAAGAAAAAACTCAAAAATTGTGTTTTTGCAAAGAGGGTGATTCCTTTGACAAATTTTTATTTGTGACTATGTGTATGTATGCCCACATAAATTTGGTTTTTCCTGTTTCAATGGATACAGGGTTCCCTTTCTTTGTCACAAAAATTTCCTTTGATCCCATTCCATCCCATTCCATTCTATTCAGGGGTGGGATTCAAATTTCTTAACAACTGGTTCTGTGGATGTGCCCTAATTTGTGGGTGTGGCTTGGTGGTCATGTGATTGGGTGGGCATGGCTTGCTGACTGGGCGTGGTTTGGTGGTCATGTGACTGGATGGTCATGGCTTGCTGACGGGGTGTGGCTTGGTGGTCATGTGACTGGCTGGGCGTCGCTTGTATGTAAATATTGTACATATTTATGTAAATGTTGATTTTTTTTTATTTAAAAAAAGAGCAGCTTTTACCCAAAATGAGGCAAAGCAGGCAGGCAGATTGAGTTGCTTGCAGAATCACAGAGTCACTCGCAGATCTACCTTTCTGCAATCTGCTGCCTGAGTCTGCACTGAAAAATAGAAGTTTCAGTCCTAAGGAAGGTTCAGTTCTGCTCTCAGGCCAGTGGTGCAATTTGCCGGTTCTCCGAACTGTGCAGAATCGTAACAACCGGTTCGATAGAACTGTGCAGAATCGTAACAACCGGTTCTATAGAACTGGTCCGAACTGGTAGAATCCCATGCCTGATTCTATGTTATTCTATTTCTATTCTATTCACTCTATTCTATTTCTATTCTATTCTAACTTTATTCTATTCTATTTTAACTCTATTCTATTTCTGTTCTATGCCATCCCATCCCATTCTATTCTATTCTATTTCTATTATATTCAATTTTAACTATTCTATTTCTATTCTATGCCATCCCATCCCATTCTATTCTTTCCCTATTCTATTTTGTTCCGTTCCATTCCGTTCTGTTCTGTTCTGTTATATTCTATTCTTTCCCTATTCTTTCTTTATTCTATTCTACTCTACTCTACTCTAATTCTATTCTATTCTATTCTAACTCTATTTCTATTCTATGCCATTTCATCCCATCCCATCCCATCCCATTCCATTCCATTCTATTCTATTCTATTCTATTCTATTCTATTCTATTCTATTCTATTCTATTCTATTCTATTCTATTCTA